GGCCACGATCCCCTCATGTCACCTAGCCCCGTTCCAGCTGCCACTCTACAGGTACCCATCCCTGTAGAGCTGCCCACCACAGCAGCTTTATCCTGGGGTGAACAGCTTGACGTTTGCGTCCCTCTGCCCAGTGTGCTCAGCACGGACGAGCGGGTATCACGGCAGCTCCTTCGTGTGTTTCCAGAGCTCCTGGAGGAGGTTGCGGTGACCTGGAAGGACAAACCGTTAACCAGCAAAATGTCCGTGCAGGGAGGATCCGCTCTCGATGTGGAGGGAATGGAGAAGGTAGGACTTCTCCGAATGCCCCCCATGGAGCCATTAGTTGCCGCGCACTTGCACCCAAAGCACACGGCGGCTGCAAATCCGACGTTGCCATCCAAAGCGGACCGTTTCCAGTCAAGCATGACGGAACGCGCTTATAAAGCAGTTGCTCTCTCTGTCAGGGCTCTGAACGCGACCTCTATGCTGACCGCGTACCAAGCGGAATTGCAGGACGAAGCGTTGACCATGCCAGGTCAGACACACTGGGAAGATATCTGTGTCGTTACGGATCTGTCTCTGCATCTTCAGAGATGCGCGGTTCAAGACGCGGGCAAGGCCATGGCCACAATGGTCATTCAAGAGAGAGGACGTTGGCTTAACTTGGCGAATCTCTCTGACAGGGAAAAAGAAGCCATCCTGGACGCGCCGGTGGTCGCAGAGGGCATTTTTGGCTCGGCTCTGACACTGATGCAAAAGAGATGCGAGGAAAAGAAGAGGGATGATGAGGCTTTGCAGCTCTGTATGCCTAGAAAGGAACAGAGAGAACACACAGTTATGCTTCTGGAACACATACAGAAACTGGGTTTAAAATTAAACATCGAAAAGAGTGTTTTAATTCCCACACAGTCTATAACATATCTGGGGCTGTCACTGAACTCGGTGACATTCAGAGCGCGACTGTCGGAAGACAGGGTGAGAAAATTCACTCATTGCATGACCGATTTTCAGAGGGGAAACTGTGTTTCCTTTCGAACATGCCTCAGACTATTAGGACTGATGGCCTCAGCCCTGATAGTTATTCCCTTAGGCAGACTGTTCATGAGAGAGTTTCAACGCTGGGCAGCGTCTCAGGGGCTGGACCCATTACGTCACTCCCGGAGGAGAATGTGAGTGACGTCAGAGGCAGTCTTGGCACTGCGCCAGTGGAGACACCCGACCTTTCTGGTTCAAGGGGTACCCATGGGCGTGGTTCGAGCCAGATAAGTCATAACAACAGATGTGGGGGGGGGGGCGTTGTCTGGTTGAGGGGGCATTCACGAGGGCAGGATAGTGAATGGAAGATGGGGTCAACAACTGACCAATCTTCACATAAACTATTTGGAAATTCTAGCCGTTTTTCTGACGCTGAAGCATTTTCTTCCTTTTCTGAAAAGGCATCATGTTCTTGTGAGAACGGACAACAGTTGTGGCTTACATAAACCGACAGAGAGGTCTCAAATAATTTTCTTTGCGCACGTTAGCACGCAAACTGATTTTATGGAGCAATGCCAATCTTTTATCCCTGAGAGCGACGCACGTACAGGGTGTCATGAACCAGGGCACGGATCTGCTGTCCAGGGGCAATCCCCTCTACAGGGAGTGGAAATTGAACAGGCAAGTGGTCGAACAGATTTGGAGCATATATGGCAGAGTGACAGTGGATCTGTTCGCGTCCCACGGCAGTTCTCAGTGTCCTCTGTTGTTCTCTCTGAAAGATCAGAGCGCGCTCAGTGTCCTCTGTTCTTCTTTCTGAAAGATCAGAGCGTGCCTCTGGGGATAGATGTGCTGGCGCTCAAATGGCCTCGCACTCTCCTTTACGCGTTCCCACCGATAGCGTTAATATTCCCAAAACTTTACAGAGTAACACATCATACATATGCTGTCTTTTGTCACAATTAGAGGGGGAGATTTTTCATCATCATCCAGAACGTCTGCCACTATGGGCCTGGCCTGTGAGTGGTTCAATTTAAATACAACCGGTCTGACAGCGTTATTAAAACCATACAAAATGCTAGAGCTTCATCGACTAGGTCTCTTTATGAATACAAATGGGGAGTGTTTGAGCGCTGGTGCTGTTCTAGATTCCCTTTCAGTGTTCAGTGGCAGTGGTAGTCATTCTATCATTTCTTCAGGATTTGATAGACCAAGGGAAAGCGTTTTCAACAATAACAGTGCTTCTGGCTGCTATATCTGCTTGTCACATTGGTTTTGATAACAAAACTGTGGAACAGCATCCTTTAGTGTGCAGGTTCATGAAGGGCGCGCGCCGTGCTTTGCCAGTTTCAAAACTGCTTTCCCCCTCATGGGATTTGGGATTGGTGCAACACCTCGACAGACCCGGGAATTACGCAAGGATCCTATTTGTGGACTTCAGTTCGGCCTTCAACACCATCATGCCTGACCTTCTCTCAGACAAACTCACACAGCTCTCTCCTATGTATGTCTGCACTATCATGTATGTCTGCACTATGTTTGTACTTTCTTCTAAACTGGAAGCTCCTGTCGTCGTCAAATTTCTTGTGTGTGTAAACATACTTGGTAATAAAGCTCTTCTGATTCTGATGCCCTTTCAATGTCACCATTTGAGCCGCTGGACAAGGTTGATTTCAAAATATTGTCATTTAAGATGGCACTGCTGTTAACTTTGGCTTCGACAAAGTGCGTAAGTGAGATTCATTTCGTTTCAGTGCATTCAGCGTGTTTGCAGTTCATGTCTGGGGATGCAGGGGTAGTTCTGAAACCTAATCCTGCATTCATGCCCAAAATAGTTAATGCTATCATTCCTCTTGAGTTAAGAGCCTTCTATCCACCACCTTTTGCTTCATCAGAACAAAAAAAGTTAAACACTCAACAAGGGGAATGTCAACTTCGTGGGCTCTATTTAAAGGAGTCACGTTACAGGATATTTGCGAAGCGGCGAGTTGGTCCTCACCACATACATTTGCAAAGTTTTATAAACTGGATGTTACAACTCAAACTTTAGCACATGCAGTATTGAGCGTAGGAATGTGAGTCATGAGTCATGCCTCGTTCAGCCCCGGATTATTGTGGTTGGCAGGAGACTTCGAGGCAGGCTATCTGGCAATACGGGAATTAGGATATCCCATAGTGAGACACCGAAACGTATGCTTGAAAGAGAACAATAGGTTACTTACGTAAACCCGGTTCTCTGATAGCATTAAGTGAAGTGTCTCACCAGATCACCCTCCTTGCTGTGCGAAGCGAGGAAGAGGTGTGCTTGTTTTGAATGTCGTGGTGACGTTGTGTTGTGCCCTTTATACTGAGGGGTGGGGAGGCCACTCCCAGACACAACGTCACGTCTGCCAGCCAATTGGGGCTGGCGTAATGTAATAGGGCTTCTGAGGAATACGCGGAAGGGACGTATCCCATAGTGAGACACCTCTCTTAATGCTATCAGAGAACTGGGGTTACGCAAGTAACCTATTGTTTTTGTATGTAGTTTGTATGGTTCACTGCACATTCACATTGTAGTAATTAGAAGGTACTGGTTGTCACAATAATTATATATTGGCCAGTCTCAAGATAAAATAGTTAGGGTAAGATGGATAAGATGCCACCCTTAAGAACAATATGCATTTACTACATTATACAGCATATGAATATTTACATATTTAGTTGCCCATATTTTAAAGATATGCCATTACAGCAACACTATAAATTCAAACTGAATGATTTCACTCAGTTAGCCAACAGGTTTTAATGAAAAGCGAAGATCTTTGAAATGTACATCTAATTCATGGAATTATTAAATATACATCCACGTATTAATTTAAAAACACTAGTAACAACATGCTCCTCTGGGCCAATTGTGGGAGGGGCATCTTATCCCAAATATATAATTTTAAGTATTCATATTTTAAGAAGAGCAATTAAGATGGGGTCATCTTGCCTCAAGGGGTATCTTACCCTGTTTTACCCTGTTAATATTAAATATTAGTGTGTCATTGTTGTGGATTTCATTCTCTTATTAAAGGATATTTTAACATCATTTTTATGCTTTTAAAACATTCAAAATCACAAATACATACGTGTATATGACACTTAAAGAATACATGGCTAATGCAAACATGAGGGCGACAGCCTGTTATATCCAGCTGCTTTTTGTTCGCGCCAATTATAGTTTTCTGTCATCCTCAATTAAAAACAATCATTTTGTTGCATACAATCATAAAAGCATATAATATATTGGGGCAGGGTGAAGATAACCCGTTTTTCAAGTTTTCATCTGTAACACACAGCAACAACACTTCACATCATCACACATGATTCTACATAATCTAGCACTCGTTTACACACGTAAACAAACACCCCGACACACCAGACGTGTGGTGTAGTTGCAACACAAAAATACGAAAAGAAACGTAATCTATGCCAAAGGATGCTTACTTTTTTTGACGACTTTTAAACTTGCTATGTCTGGGAATTCAACAGTAGCCATATTCTTAGAAGCACCAATATTTGATTCTTATCTTTGATAACATTATATTTAAAACAGCTGATGAATCTTTTTTTCTGCAAAGCAAGCTAATGGCTATGCCATTGTTGAAGGCAAGCACTTAAGTATTGTGTATTCACCCATTTTTTCATGCTGAAGATTTGTAGCAGCCAAGTGCACTAGATGATTGACAATGAACACGGATTTAATGCTACATGGTTTTCTCATGGTTTTCAACAAATGAGACCACAACAGACATGGTACAGGAATACAGTGACACACCCACTCATTCACTCAATCGTGAATGACAACTTGGTATACGAACAATCATTCGAGCAAGCCACAGATTGCAACTGTTGAAAAGAACACTGTTTACACCTGCTTTAGCTTGTGAAGTGTGTCTACAGTCTTAGAGAAAGCATATGCAGCATATTTGCACAACACATAGTCTCACAATTCTTTTACAAATTTCAGTTCCCAAAGAGATGTGCAGTACATGATTGACATGATTGTGTTTTTTCTTCTTCTTCTTTTTGCAGAGCAAGCTAATAATACTATGCCATTGTTGAAGGCAAGCTTATACTACATATCGACCTCCCTCAGGCCCCCTGGGACCTCGCTTTGCACTTGCATTGGCATTAGTAGAAGTGGGGCTGGTAAACTCCTTGGAGGCAGATTTGGTCTTTCCCCCGGGAGAAGTGCCCTTTGAGTGAATGTTGAGGATTCCTCCAGGTTCAACAATAGTGTTGATCACTGAGGTATTACAAAGATAAAACACCAATGGATATAGGGAAGGCCCAGAATGTGTAGTATACAGGGTCAAAGTTACAAATCTAATGCTAATAAACTCACCCTCAAGTTGTCTCTGGACTCTTCGCAGTTCTTGGAGAATAGATGAGATTTCCTGCTTGCGAAGTAAGGAAAATTATTACAAAATAAAGAAACATCTCTGAAATGAATGTTTGGTCTTTGTAAATTACATTGGAAGGAATGTACCTTATTAGATGTTTTAAGGATGGGAACTTCATTTTCAGCATTGATTTTTGCCTCTATTTCCTCCCAAACCTCTGTCTTGTTATGAAACAGAGCTCTAAAAGAGACATAATATTTGTGGGAGTAAACAGACAAAACACCTAGACAGTATTGCCAGTTCTTTGTTTTAAAGATCTTAATAGAATCAAAAGGCATTGTGTGCCTAGGTCTATTAGCTGAACTATCTGTATATGCATAGGCGGAAATTCCAGGGGGGACGGGGGGGACAGGACCCCTCCTATCTGAGGGTTGTCCCCCCTCAAAATATGATTAAAAACCACGCTGTGTATTGTAAATACCAATGTTTTATACTTTAAATAATTGTGTAGGTAGTAAAACAACACAAACGGGGCAAAAATGCGTTTTAAGTTTAGAAACATTTTGAGTTTCCCCCTCCCTTGCCGAGATGGTCCTCACTGCAGAACACAAGATCCAGGGGGCGTGGTTGGATCCAGCGTCCTGGGAAAATGGCACATATGGTCACCCTACCTAAACCTACCTATCTCCACCCCCTAGATGTGGATCCAACCACATCCCCTGGCTCTTGTGTTCTGCAGTGAGAGGCTACTGCCCTTGCCTCACAGTGCTTTTGTCCAAATGCCTGCTTTCCTCCTTTACATCACCTACACACAAGTCCGGTGAGAGAGAACAAAGTCAATAGTTGTGGAACTCCAAGGCTGTCAAGGCTATTTTATTCACTTAAACATCGGATGAAGTGATTATTTTCTCTTTAATACAGATGATGCCAATGTATTTTTCAGTGAGTCGCAATGTTAGCTATAATAATGTTACTTGCTTGACGGAAAGGGTTGCCAGGTTTTCACAACAAAACCTGCCCAATTGCTACTCAACACTAGCCCAAACTAACCACGTTTCGAGGGGGTCCCCCGGTAAAAATCAGGTTCCGGGTGCTAAAACACACGTTATTGGGGTCGCTTCAACCCGCGGACATGAAAAACAACCCACGGCAACAGTGATAAAGTAGCCCAATTCCACGGGAAAACTGCGGACTTGGCAACACTGACATGACCTCTGTCGCGGTGCGACCACAACAGCTCGACATTGTCTAATTTGGCTCAGTCTCCCAGCTGCACTAATAGTAGTAAGGCTTTCCTCTGTGCATACATATCCTTACAAGTACAATTTTAGCTGTATTATTTGTGTCCCCTTCAAAAATTGCTCTTGAGAAATTTTATGTTTATTGTCCCCCCCAACTGTTAGACGAAATTTACGCCCCTGTGTATATGCTAGTGTAAAATTTACCTTTAGCAGATACACACATTTAAAATATATAGTCTCTGTTGTGGGAAAAATGGACCAAAAATACTGATGACTCATCCTGGACTACACGGATTTTCCTATATTCTCTAGGATGAGAATCTCCATTCCCCTAATCCGTTAGCAAGTACTTTGTAGACATGATGTAACTACAGCCTACTGATCTTTAAAAAAAAAGAAGAAGAAGATGATTAAAGAAGAAGAAGAAAGAACAATCCCTTCAAGATGTCCCACCCACAGTTTGTTTTTAAATACGAAATATTTTACTTCATACTTCATTTTCTCTGCTAGTTGCTCCGTGTTCTCTCTGATAGCCTGGGAGAGCTGGGAGACTGGGTTTAACATTAGATTGTCCAGAATTACCTGCGATTAAAAAAAAATCAAAGATTAAATTTAGAAATGATGTAATTTAAATTTATCTATACAGCTTCTGAGAGGCACTGCCATTGGCTATGCAGGCCATAACACCCTAATGACTAATGGATCAGTTTATTAGTGTAATGAGCAAAGGATTTGACCAAATTTGACCTCTTCACGGTTCCAGGGACGCCGTCTGGAACTGTCATGGTCGTTCATATTTGAGTCCTGGTCTATTGGACTAGTTGAGCCTGGAGGAACCTTTTGATAGTTCAGACTTGCCTCGGGTATATGCTGTACCAGCTGCAGATTAATCAGGGATGGGAAAGCACCAGTAAGAACATGTGGACATGACAATGGCAGGTTAAATTTGATGTTAAGAGACAGATTACAATGGAGGCTTCCGGGAGTAAATCTTTGGGAAGATATCTGTATGATCATGCTAATTCAATTGTGAATAGAAAAGGGTTCTGTGTTCACAGTCAACACAGCAACTTTGATCCTTGTTTCTTCAAGATACATTTGGAAATATTTTTAATGTGAACATAACCTGTTTTGAGAACATACAGCCTTAGGAGTGAATTTGCAAGTGAGTTTCCATGCATTAGGGAATTCCCTCATGCATATAAATGGCAGAAGTTTAAACAACAGGTTTCGAAGCTGGACACTGGACAGTTGTTAATACATCGATACTGGTTCACAGAGAAAGTATTTTAATTTTGGACACCACTTGGTGATAATGAGTGATGAATTCAGCACCTGAGGTAACAGGAACCTCTGTAATGATGCATATGGTCTCTGCACAAAAGAGAAAATATACAACAAAACGTATGCAAGATTGAAAAAAATCTTATACCTTAGTCTTAGTCCTTTTTGGGACACAATTCATTATAATGAAGTGTACCATGGTATAGCAACCCAAGACTCCAAATCGAACAGGCTAGCTTACCTTTGACTTTAGTATTTTATCTACAATTTTTTTCCCCTCTTTGTGCTAATAAGAAGAATATAAAGATTTGCTGCATGTTCTGCTTTATATTAAAAAGGTAATGGAATGGGTTAATGTATATAATGGGATGTCATTTAACCAAGCAAGCAAATCTTAGGTGCACCTCCTCTCTGGTTGAGATAGTGGATGCAGGGGTATTGGGCATTGAGCCTGGGGAAGTGGTTGCTCCTATGCCTGACGATGTCTGGGAGTCACCATCTCCTGCAACATCATGGATTTCACGTGCAAGAATGGCAAGATCTTTGGCCAGGTCTTGACTCAGCCTAAAGGAAGTAAGTATAAATGTAAAATATAAAAATTAATCAATCACAAACTAGCTAATGCATTAGCATTTCACACCACAACAACAAAAAAGTTAAATAACCTGGCAATCTCTGCACTATGAGTAGACCAGTTCTGGAAGTGCTCATTCTGAGTTTCGTCCTCTTCCGTTTCCAAAGAGCTACATTTTAGCCTCATTTGAATGGTCTTCTGTGGTGTCTGTGTCTGAGTTGAAGCTGAGGCATGGGAACGTTTATGTTTAGAGTTGGAATTGGTCTCAAACTCCTCCTCTGAGGTAGAGGAATAGTCTGAATCCTTTTGTCTGCGGTGAGAACCTCAAATTATAAACAAAAAAGGGAAATTAACATTTCTAAACAATGTATCATGTTTGTAATTTAAAACTTCAAATTACAATATTGTCAGTAATATTGTAAAATGGCAATGTTATGCAATTCTAGTGGTCTTGTCTATAGGAACTGTAGATAGAGAACATCTCTGAGATTTAAGATAGATAAACAGAGAGGCACTCACCAGTTGTGCTACTGTGTTTAACTTGGTTAGATCGGTTACGAGTGGCGGAGTGCTTCCCTACTGATGCAACCACTTTGCTGGTAGCCTGCCTCACTTCACTTGAAGCCTTCCTCACACTGCTATTTGCCTCTGTAGGACGGTTAGAAATGCCATGCTTGCTTGAGGTGGACTCACTGTCACTTGGAACAGTAAAGGACCCAGTACGGTCTGTCTCTGCACCCTCATTGTCTGAGGCCTCACCTAGTCGAGCTCGGCGGAGCATGGAGGCACGAGTTGGTCTTGGGGCTGAAAGGCTATTGGATCGGGTCAGCACCTGATGGCTTCCTTTGGTCATCTTACTGGGGTCCTCCTTCTGCAGGGGTGCAGTGAGTTTTTTGCGGCTGTTGGGTCGTGAATTTGACTCATGGTCAGAAGCCGCAGCTTCTGGCCACAGCTGTTGACCATGCTGATTATCCGAAAGGTCTAAAGAACCACGGTTACCAGCACTGCGACGAAGCTGTAGATGACGACTTAGTTCTGCTTTACTGTTATTATCAGCAGAGGCGTGATTTCTGCGTTTTTCTGATAGTCGTTCACGAGCTGTAGGTTGTCGTGCTTTGTCTTGTAAACCGGAAGATGACTTCTCTTTACGCAGATCACCTGCAGATGTGTGCTTCTTATTTGCACTGACAGGAGCATTTTTATAGCTGATCATGCTTACAGTACTGGCGGTATCAACATCTGAATCACCAGACAGGGAGTCCTCTTGTGCAGGACAGCTCCCTGTTTTTGATAGTTGACTAGATCCAGATAACTTTTCTTCTGGTGATGTCAAAGATTTCTCTGCTTCCTTAGGATATGGAAATGTATCTCGAACAGCTTCCTCAGTATCCAAGCTTCTCAAAGCAGGATGACTAGAGATATGTGGCAGTTTCTTGACTTGAATGTTATCACTTGCCCTATCTTTGGTAAAACTCTCCTGTCGAACAAATGAGGTTGAGGTCTCTTTGGTGGGCACCACATCCCTGTTATGCATCTGAAGATTTGGGGCTGATGAGTTAGGCTTCACTGGACGCCTAGACTCGTGGCCATTCAAATGTCGTATCAAGACAGTTGTTGGAGGTATCTTAGGAGAGGAGTCTCTCTCTGGCTGTGAAATAACTGGACTTTTGGACACATCTGACTTGCATGAACCATCCTTAGAACCAATATAAAATGAGGTGGGTTTAGGAGTGGGTGTTGGCAACTCTCTTAACCCTCTGGAATGGTTTACATTTTCGTAAGGTGAATGTGTTGTAGTTCCTCTCTTTCCTTGGCTCCTTCCACTCCTATCAAGGATTGAGCTGTCATCTGAACGGCTAGTGTCACTCAGACTGTCTGGGTCCACATCGTCTTGGACACATAGCCACTGAGTGCAGTCATGCTGCTGTGGTGCTCTGGAACCTTTCTCTGGTGGCTCATGGTCCATGTTTGTTTCATGCCGAATCAAGATACTGGGGGTTGTGTTCTCCAGTTTTTCTCCAGGTGGAACCTGAGGAAGTAGTCGTCTGGTCCTGGAAACTTGACTGCCCTCTGACTCCAAGATATCCACGCTTTGACTAATCATTGATGTCGCACTGTCATCTTCAAAATGAAAAGAGTGAAAATAGTTATTAATTTGCTGGACTATTCATAAAATCAAAAATTGTATTGAAATGCTTAATTGCTCACTAGGGCTGTGCGATTAATCGAAATTGTAAATAAAATCGCGATTTGAGCATGCACGATTTCTAAATCGCTTTACAGCACGATTTTCCGCTCCCCCGACCTCCCGCAGTATGCTATCCGAACCAATCAGAATGCAGCGCGCTTAAATGGAGCACGAGAACAGAATAGACCAGGCAGGCATACAAACGTAACGCCAGGTTCACACACTCCCTCTGTGGTGCGTATTTTGTCCGTGCCCATGTTAACGGATCAGAGCATTCACACTGCACGCGATTGCGCTCCGGCAGTTCCGCACGGAGTCTATTTCTGCTGTGCTGCACGCGCTGAAAGTGACCAGCAGTCATGCTGCGATCGTTTCCGCACGGAGTCTATTTCTGCTGTGTTGCATGCACAGTGCATTATTCATGGTAAAAATTAACATGGATTGACACGGAAATTTAGTACTTACACCATAAATGCATATAATTAAAGTCTACTGTTTCACAGTCAACACATGGCTTTTTGGCTAGATTTAAAACAAGGAAAAGTGCACTTTTAGATAAACAACGCAATAATAGATGGCACTCGTGGTGGTAGTTAAAGTTATTTATTGAGTTTAAACGTGAATATGTCTATGAAAGATTGTATTACTGTACTGTGATAAAAGAGAATCACAATGCTGAAAAAGCATTTTCAGAAACAACGTTTGGATTTGAAATCAAAATAATGGATAAATGTTGTGTGTGTGGTAAACAGCCGCGGATCAGGATATGTCTATTCTAGAGGATATGTCTATTCTAGAGACATTTTGTTACACCTTTACTTAGTGATTATTTTGCCTTATGTCTGTTCTAGAGACATGTCACAGCTTCTTGATAAAGCTCTAATTGGTTTTCTTTTGGAAATATGTTTCAAATTCACACTGAATGCATTTATCACTGTAAAGCATGTCTGTGTGTGTCAAAATCATGATTAAAATTGCAAAATTGATCAAGAAATCGCGATAGGTTTTTTTTGTCCATATCGCACAGCTCTATTGCTCACTAGTGGTTTTCAATGAATATACCTCTGTCTGCAGGTACACTTTGGGGTGGAATTCCCATTGATCCTTGAGTAGCCCCAGGATCACTGTAAGTGTCTGCTAGGCTGGCCCAGCGTGAGACCCATTTAGGCCCTCCTACATCAGGATGTGCCTAAAACCAAAAGAGTAACATCTAACAATCATAATTATTAATTAATTGTGCACTATTTTACACAGTTGGGACAGTATTTCAGTAATGAAGGAGGGCACTGTTGTCTGAGCAGTATGTAATTGCAATACCTGCAGTGAGATGACTTGGTCCCTACCATGGCCCTGTGATGATGTCGACATTACATCAGCTACCATACCATGGCTGTGACTCAAGAATAGTTGCTCATCTTTACCATCATCAATCACAGGCCTATAAACTCCAAGAGTCTGACCACTGTATTCTGGTGCATCTAAAACACCAAACACCTGTGAAATATGAAAAAATATGATTTATCATGTTTCTCAAACACCACTGTCTTCCATTGTTCAGCCCAAATAGGCCAAACAGGTGATTCCAACCCAAACTCACACCAGCAGTTGAAACAGAAGTTGACATTTCGGACCACTCAAACAAACAGCACAATGCTTTGAAAGTGCCACAGAGACACAGTTTTCCACTCCTCAACTTTGCTTACTTATTGTATCTGTATAGTAAACTGGATAGGAAAAAGTATCTTAACATCTACATATTACACCTGCTATATCATTGTTAAAGTCAGTCACTGACTACTCTGAATTTTGACTCTGGTATACACCAATGTATACCAAACTAATACAGTTTGTATATTTTCCAAAGAAAAAGAAAAAAGGGTTTATCACCTGATCAATCATACTTCTAGCTTCCTCTACTTCCTTATCTTGTGACTCTGTCTCAATTGTGTAGGTACCAGCATCACTCAGACTGTCCTCCTCCTCGGTTCGCATCACTCTCGAGCCCTTAGTTTCAACACCACTAACTAACAATGGTGAAAACTGTGGTACAGGTGACCCAGCTGAGCAGAGTGGGGAGGCACTAGAAACTGGACCCCTTCCTGGGGCTTGGGAAGGGATAGAGACAGGGGCGGTTGCTGGAAGAAGAGACTGGGATAATGCAGGTAGTTGGGATGGAGAAGACGGGTATGATACAGATGAGGGTGCAGATGGCTCTGCTGGGGAGGGTAAAAGAGTGTGTGATGGGGACATCATCACAGGAGGGGCAGACATGGGAGGTGGGGAAGTCTTTCCCGTATCCTTCAAGAACTCTGCGGTAAATTCCTGAGATAGTTTGGACTTCTTGCCTATACTCCCAAAAGGCTTAATGGCGATAGCTGGTGAAGAGTGAGACGAGGTCCCTAATAGAGATGCGCTGGTCCCACCGTCTTCTGTCTTCTCTCTCTTCAGTGAGCTTGATCGCTGTGAACCTCCATGGCTTGAACCTTTCAGTGGAACAGTGGTTTGCTGTGTTGGAGGAACATGCCCATGCACAGAGGCGGGCCTTTCCCCATGAGTCAGACCTTTCCGTCTCTCTAGTTTGGCTTTCAATGCAGAGTAGGAATCAGCATGTGCAGAGTTGTGGGTAAAGGACTGTGACCGCTTCTTTCTGGGATTATCATCAAAGAACTCAATAATGAAGGCCTGCTGGTTAAACCACTTGTATTTTCAACAATAAAAACTGTTTTTAAGTCATTTATGTTTTTAAGTTAGTTCTATCTTTTGCTGTAGTGTGTCAGTGGGAAATATCAGTTTTCATTACCAAACATTCTTTTTGCCATTAATTGTAATAATCCAGTGAGATTTTTGTATGCACAAGGAATCTGACAGCAGCCAGTATGCTCAACACAGAGATCTGATCTCACCATCATCCAGTCTGTCTGGAATGACATGAAGAAACAGAAAAAAAAACTGAGAGACAAAATCCAGAAGAACTGTGGCAATGTCTCCAAGATGCTTGAAGAAACCTACCTACAAAGCTACAGTACTGTGAAAAGTTTTAGAAACATCTCCAAGACACTTCAAGAAATCTACCTGTAAAGCTACCTGAAAAACTATGTGCAAGTGTACCTAGGACAAAAAGCTGTTTTAAAAGCAAAGTGTAATTAATATAATTAATAACAAAAATAATTAATAACTAATAACTAACTAATAATGGCAAAAGGAATGTTTGGTAATGTAAACTGATATTTCCTACTGACCCACCACAGCAAAAGAGAAATAACAGACTTAAAACCATTTTTTTCTGCTGAAAATACTAGTGGCCTAAGGATTTTGCACAGTAGTGTATATATATATATACATATACATATATATATATATATATATATATATACACAGTAAAATCCTGA